TTCTGTACAGTTCAAATGTAAAAAAACAAAAACAAAAAACTATGCATCATCCTCAACTATTCAAATCCTTTCATCCCTATGAAAACCCTTAGCAAGCCAACACAAGTTCCTGTGTCCAATATATTCAATCTACTCTTTGCCACTGTCATGATTTCTCTTCTTAAATATTTTGTTAGCTTTACTCATCTCATTCTTTCTGCTCTTCTGCCATTCTCCCCAAATTACTGTGCCTGATAGAAGGCAGTAAATTCCTAAAAATGTAGGCAAGTCAAGTCATTCCTGTGCCTGTGCTTAAAATGTGTTATTGCCTCCTTTACCCTAAGAACAAAAGGCAAGTCATTGCCATATGATCCTTCTTTCTCATGAATTAAAAAGGAGGTGAAAGTATAAACATCTTTTGCCTCCTTCATCCTCACCATCATCTTTGTGCTCTCTTCCTCAAATTTCCTAGATTAAATCCCTGATAGTTTTACTCTCTGATCTTAAAAAATTCTCTTTGCCACCTTTGTTTACCAAACTGTAAGTGTTTTTTCTTCTTTCTTTAACAGTTCAAGGCTTTTGCCATCACTCTATTCACTTTTTCCCCCACTGACCTAAAGCAACCAAGCACATCTCAGCTCATGTTATTGTACCAGATCATACATTTTTTTCCTACAAAATTTACTATTTTTTCTCTTCTCTCAAATACCCTATGTTCAAATTCCTAAAGTCAATCTCTTTCCTTTGTCTCATCTTTTTTCTTCTTTCCTTTTATTTTACTAATTAACTGTTATTTTTTTTCCCCCTAGTTTTACCCTCTTCCCCCAAATCAGACTTACTTAGGGTGTGGGCCACCTCTGCTTACCCGTCATTGTGTTTCTTACTCCTTAGAATGCTCAAATTGGAGAGAGTGCTGCCTAAAAAACCTAGTATGTTGCCAGTTTATATATCTGTGATGAATGGAACTTCTCATTGTCATGATTATGGATTTGGAAGCCTCAGGGAACATTTGCCACTTAGACTATATAAACACTAGTGGGTACCTATGGCCCTCAGGGATGCAAGTTCTGCATGTTGAGGTAGAGGGAATTTCCACTGGGAGGGAGAATGCCTAAGGGAGGTTCAAGTAAGACAAAATCAGGGAAATCCTGATTCTAGCTCTGGTTGTTGGCTGAGTTACATGTTCAAATAAGGGTCAGGAAAATGTCAAACTCTTCCTGGTGAGTGCTGGCTGGTATTAATATTTTAAAAGGAAAAATAGCATGAAAATATTAAGTTTGCTGCTGAGACAGGTTCTGCATATGAAAACACTTCAGAAGAATTTTTTTTAATATTTCCTAAATATTACATAGGAAAAAGATTATGTGGAAGAGCAGGTTTTCAAAGCTTTTGAGTCTGGTTTAGTATACAAGGAGTTTGAAAAATGAACTTGTATGACACAAATGGCCTCCAAAGTCCTGGCTTTACATCATTCAAAGACCACACAAATAATTATTTTTAAGAACCATATATTTTAAAAGGTATACTTAAGCAGAAACACACATTACAGAAAAGTTATGTATTAATCAGTTAACAAAGCTATCTTGTGATCATGAGCCCAACCTTGTGTTTCCTTAGAAGAAATGGTTTCATATTTGCTAATCCAGAGTTAAATGGTAACTTTATAGAATGTAATTATTCCAAATAACTAGAATTACCTGTACACATACAGCCTGAGGCAAAATTAATAGTCCCATTCTCTGAGCTGCATGAAACTCTTGGGGACCCTTGGTATGGTATTTGATACATGGCAATGTATTCGTATTTCCAGTTTGGACCTCCTGTGTAGATTATGATATTTTAGAGTGTAAGGAGTGTGATTTATTCAACCTTCTACTATAGTTCAGGTCATGATGCACATTGTTTGTTTTTAAGAAATATTAATAAATTAACACAAGTCTTCCATCATTTTTACATATTAAAAATATGGCTGCTAATTGTGTGTAAGAAGAATCTCTAAGTTTAATAAATGCATGCGCCACTTTACTACTATTGTTTAAGATACCTAGATCATCCATGTCCTTTGATGGCATAATCAGAGGTGAAATCAGAAATATATTCCATGTGTGATTATTACATTCAGCCATTTCAATTGGGAGAAAATATTTCAATTAAGAATAGATAACAAGAAATACTCTTAGAAAAAATGTCAAATGTATAAGTAACTTTACCAAAGTGCTCTGGTGACTATCAGAGAAAAATACTCCTAGATTAAAATATTTGATACTTTGGCAAAATGCACCCATTTATTGTCTAAACATAACTCTTGGGATAAAATATCTCTAAATGTGTCTCCTGTCCTTAATTCTCATAGACAATTGCCCTGAAGTATTAGATCTTTCTTATAACTAAAAAAGTGATTTTTAGTTTCTTATTATCAAATTTTTATCAAGATATAATTTATTTTATTTTATTTTATTTTATTTTATTTTATGACAGGAGCCGCAAGCTGTCCCCCTGGGTAGAGTGCCGTGGCATCTCAGCTCACCACAACCTCCCACTCCTGGGCTCAAACAAGTCTCCTGCCTCAGCCTCCCAAGTAGCTGGGACCACAGGCGCCCACTACAACGCCCAGTTATTTTTTGGTTGCAGCCATCATTGTTGTTTGCAGGGCCCGGGCTGGATTCGAACCTGCCACCTTAGGTGTACGTGGCTGGCGCCTTAGCCACTTGAGCCACAGGCACCGAGCCGAAGATAAATTTATACACAATAAAATCCACCCTTCTAAAGAGTGCAATTCAACTGTTTTTAGTATATTCACAAATTTGTACCATAATCACCACTATCTAATGCCAGAATATTTTCATCATGCCAAAAAGACAAGCTGTGCCCATTAACAGTCATTTCCTACTCTCTCTGCCAAGCCCATTCAATACTACTCTGCTTTCTGACTCTGTTTACCTATTCTGAACTCTTTGTGTACACCAAATTATGTAATGTATTGGGGTTTGGGGGTGGTTATGGTGGTTTCTTTCATTTATCAAAAATGTTTAAAATGGTCCAGTATCAGTACTATAGTTTTCATGGTAGAATAATAATATTCCATTATATGTTTCATACCATGGTTTTTGTAATATATTTGTCAGTTGACGGACCCTGAGGTTATTTGATGTTTTGTCTTTTACGAGTAATGTGCCATTATGAATATTTGTGTACTAGATTCAGTGTGTATATTTGTTTTCAATTATTTTGGGTACATACTGAGGAGTAAAATTGTTGGGACATACTATTTTATAAAATGGCTACATTATTTTGTAGTCTCACCAGAAATGTTAAGGGTTCTCATTTCTCTAAATTCCCACCAACATTTGCTATTGTATCTTTGGTTGTAGCTATGCTAGTGGATATTAAGGGCTATCTCATGGAAGATTTTATAAAATTTCTCCTAATAGCTATTGATTTTGGGTATCTTTTCATGGGTTCATTGGCTATTTATCTTCTTTAGAGAAATGTCTATATAAATCCTTTGGCCATTACAAAAATGGGTTATATTTTGTTTAGTCAGAGAAATCATTTATATATTACTAACATTATATGATTTGTAAATATTTGCTTACTATGCCAATTGTATTTTGGCCTTCTTAGTAGTGTCATTTAATGCATGAAAGTTTTAATTTTTAAGATATTTGTTTATTGATTTAGTTATTGTTAATGTCAGTGCTATTTTAGGTTTCACAACTTAATGTACTCTTTTGTAATTCCAGGTCACAGAGAAAAATAGAAGCCATTAGGTAAGAACACCAACTTTTCATCAAAAACCTCCATGTTGGCAGCACCCATAGCTCAGTGGGTGGGGCACTGTCCACATACACCAAGGCTGGTGGATTCGAACCCAGCCCAGCCAGCTAAAACAACAATGACAAATGCAATAACAACAAAGAAATATCTGGGCATTATGGTGAGTGTCTGCAGTCCCAGCTACTTGGGAGGCTGACGCCAGAGAATCGCATAAGACCAAGAGTTTGAGGTTGCTGTGACCTGTGATGCCACAGCACTCTACCAAGGGTGACATAGTGAGACTCTGTATCAATAAAAAAGAAAAAGAAAAAAAAAAACTTCCTTGTTATTTGTATCATTTTGATACAATTCCTTCTTTTCTCTTCAAGAAAGTTACATTTTCTATGAAATATAATCATCGAACTTTCCTATCTTATACCTGAATATTTCACTCTGTGTTCCAGTTTTCACTTTTATTCATTATTTCCATCTGATATTCTTACATTTGCCCTTTTAACCCATGCACTTCTTTGCCACAGAGATGTCGAAACTTGTGTCCACCATCTTTTAGCCCATTATTCAGATGGCAGTAGCTATGATTTCATTCCTGAAATAATTATTTATTAGTGTAGGCCATGTTCCAAGTATCATTTTAGATCTTGGGAAATTAGTAGTGAACACAAAAGGCAAATTATGTGCACTCATCATGTCAATGTTGTCAGGTAAACAATAAACAAATATATGATGTAATATCAGATAGTGATAAGTGCAAACCACGAGCAAAGCAAGAGGCTGTGAAATATGGTTAATACTGTACATGCAGTCTTATGTATCTTTGAGAGTGGCGTTATAATCACCAGGCTATTTTCGTAGAAATGAAATACCCTCAAAATGCTCAATCATGAAGAGTTCCAGGAAATAAGTTGCCTTGACTTAGAATCTGCACTACTGCAAAATGACAACACAACAGCACCTGGGACTTTTGCTTCTACCTATGCAACTGGCTGTGGGGACATGTCAGGAATCCTGGGAACCCCACCATCGGATGGTGGCCAACAGAGGACATGACACTGAAAAAAATACAGGGTCATATTTAAACTCCTGATCAAGAATCTAAAGGTCTCAGCCTGCCTGCACTGATGAATCTCTACCCAGGGACCATCATGTAGACACTACCCTGATGGGCACTTTATGCTGAGTTGGAAGGTCCATGAGGAATTTGGCCTGCCTGCTTCCCACAGAGACAGGCTAGAAAAATTATAAAGGTGCTTGCTTGGGCAGCACATATACTAAAAATTGGAACGATACAGAGATTAACATGGCCCCTGCACAAGGATGACACACAAGTTCATGAAGCGTTCTATATTTTTTTATTAAAAATAAAAGGAAAAGAAAAGCCATAAAGCATTTGTGGGGGATTCAAATGGCAAAGGGCTGATTCCTTATCTTGGAAGTTGAAAACAGCCACAGGAATAAAATGCTTAACAAGTTTTGAATAAGTTAAAGATTAGATTAGAAAGCAGCTACTTGGGCTGGATGGAATAAACCAATAGTATAGATTAAAAGGTAACATCTCCCTCTTTTACAACATATGTTCCCTTCTAACCCAGACCCTTTGTCTGCTCTCCTATAAATTGTGCCCCTTAGATCTTATGCAAGACCACTCGTATATCACATGCGGGGACATGGTTTCTTTGACTCCTAGCTAATCATGATAAACAACATAATGCTATATTGCAAATGATTGTTAAAGCACAATAAAAGGCCTGGTGAGACTTGCGACTTGGCTGCATTCTCCTGGATGTCTTTAGGTTGGTCAGAGCCATCTAATGTTGCCCCAGCAATAGCTGAGTGTGAGAATCTTTATTTGTCACGCCGCCATCCTCCACTTTAGCCAGGTGCCAAGGAAGTCAAGGGAGTCCAGTAGAAACACCTGGCTAGCTCATTTTCCTTGAATGCACTCAGCTCCAGGATAGTTGTTGCAAAAAAAAAAAAAAAAAATGGAAAACATAATAGTTACGTAATCATTTGTTTTCTAAGTGGCAGAAGGACTGTGAGATGGTGACCAAAAGTATCTCATAGGAATACACAGAAAAAGATATAGAAGCTCTAATAACAGATCTCCTTAGGGGCATTTGATCCTCTGAGTCTGGTGTCCTTGTCACTGTGAGTATCTTCCACACCAAAAACCTGGCGTGTGGCATTGAACTCCTAAACAATCTGGTCAAATTGTCATCCAAAGTACTGAACTTCTTTCTTCAGTGCTCAATAGGCTCCCCTGAAAGTGATACCTGTCCTTTTTATTTTTCATTCTCATTCCCTTTCTGTAAGTATCAGTGGTGAGAAGAAACCACTAACTTTTCTGTGTACGAGTGTCGTATCTGGACCCCAGAATAGTGACGCAGATTGCCCCCTTAGCTTGTGCAATTTTAGATTGAGTTTTCCGTCTTTTTAGTGCACTCGGTGGCTCTTCTGACAACACAACTATACTGATCATCATCTCTGTAGAACACAATCTGTACTGCGCCCATCCATCTTCCTGGCGGTGTTTCTTTGAGCTCTGTGTCACTTAGGAGTATGTTGTTTGATTTCCAAATGTTAGGGAAACTCCATAGATATCATATCATTGGCAACTAGTTTATGTGTATTAATTATAGCAGAAAATATACTTTGAAACATATGTTTTTCTAAATAATTACATGTCCATTTAAAAGAATATTTATTCCAAAGTATAGTGTTCTTATTTTTAAATATATATATTATGTTTAAAGATGTATGTATGTCTACCTTTTTAATTTTAGTTTTGGGTAAACTAAATTTTTAATTTCTCCCTGGTTCCAATGAAACCGGCATAGCTAAAGCAAAAGTAGCAGTGGAAAAAGCAATCTTGTGTTTTTTTCTGGAAGTACACAGTCTGAAAGTGTAATGTGGATAATCTCTAAGAAATGTTGAGGCAATAAAATGGGGATATACTCCAGAAAATGATAAAAAATAAGATGGAAGCCTAAAGACATTCTACTTTTCCAAGAAGATTATCTGTAGCATTCTGTTTTGCCTAAATGTTTTCCTCCTGTCTTTCTGTCTTATTCTGTATGTCATCAATCCACCAATCTTGTTGGCTGTGCCTCTCAAAATATATCTAAAATTAAATTACTCATGCAAACTTACTTCAACCAATCTTACCCAAACCTTCGTCATTTCTATTCGGTGCTATTGTCACATCCTACTCACTTGTCTTTCTCTTTAGGTCTTCCTCAATTCTCACGGATTTCAATTGGCTCCCTGGATAGCAGCTGTAATCATGTCATGCAGATGCTGTTAGTACATTGCTCAAAACCTCCAATGGCTTTCAGTTTTGTGCAATGCTAATCCAGAGTCCTTAGGATGGCTTATGAGGTGACACCTTTTGTTTTTCTTTAACTTCCTACTGTTCTCCTCACCCCACCACCAATTCCCTGCTGCCTCTTTTGTCTCCAGACCGGATATTTTCCTCAAACCCAGGACTGAGTTGAATATTTTTGGAAAGAAAGTTAAATTTTTTGTGTGTTACTAAAGCTGGTGGTTCCTGTGGGAGACCATGTTAAATGGCTTTAAAAGGGGGAGAGATTTTAAATGGTTTAGATAACAGAGTTGAGGCAACAATTCTTCATAAAAATGGGAAGGGTTGGTTTTACACTTTTATTTCAGAAATTAAAGATGACACTGGGATATAGAAAATCAGACTAAAAGTAGAGAGTTGTTGTTTTTTATTATGTTGCTTTTTTAAAAGGAGAGAATACACTACTTAAAAGAAGAGAAAGGGTCAGTAGGTAGGGATTACTTATGTCCGAAAGATGACCATTTAATCTTGTTCAATATTAAAATTAAGTTCTATATCTCCAAAGGAGTAATAAAAATGTATTACACAACAATCTTAACTGATATGCTTGTATACATATGAACTCTGTAAGAATTTGAAAAAATTGAGCAGTTTCGATTCTAAATGAACAATTATAACCTGTTCCACTTGGGAAATTTATTTCAAATTGTTCCTCAAAACAGAGGAGCAGGGATTGCAATTATATAAATCCTCAGTCACTTGGCGTGGTTCCTTTGTGACATGCAGGCCCTAAGGGATTGTTTAAAGACTTTGTTGACAAAATAATGCATAAACTCCATCTCTCTCTAGCACACACATGCCTACACATCCCCTCTACCTACACTAATACATAGGACCCTTGCTCCTAAAGCTTTACTTAAAAGATGATTTGAGGGAATGATCTTCGCATACTATCGACGTTCTTTTTATTGTCCTCAGAGAAACATGGAAAATCATACTGCTTAAGGTACTTTTAATTCTCCTTAACAATTCCTTTAAACTAACTAGGACCATAAAATTTAAACTTATTTAGTGTCAGAACATATGGTCATTGTTTCTAGTGTGTACACTTTGAATTTGTACTTAAGAATTATCACTGTCCAATAGAGCAGTATTATACATTTTTAAAAATTATGGATAAAGGAAATTATTTCTAATGCTATATAGAAATTTGTTTCTTCTTTCGTTTTTATTATTTTAAATTTGCAATTTGGCTGAGGTTGATTATGGCAGGACCAATCTCTTCCCATCTTAAACTGAAAACAATTTATAAAATTTCTATCACTGCGTCCTTTGCTTTTTTATGTTAGATAACTCTGTAAGATTTTTTCAGGTTTTTCATTACTATTAGATTCCAAAAATCTTATAATTATTTATATTTCATGTTAAATTTAGCTTTTTATATGAAATTCCTTTGACCTACTGGGTAACCTGAAAGAATTTTCTTCAAATATTGGGAAACTTTTCTGCTATCACTCATTCTCTACTTTATTTGGGTTTTTATGTTCTATTATGTATGAGTTTATTCTACAATTTGCAACACAGTTGAATTCAGCAATAACTAATTTGTTCCACCTTTTTATTACTCAAATATTATGAGATGAGTTATGTTGAAAAAAGATAGCTCTCCCTCATTAAGTTTTTGTTCAAAATTATGTAGCTGTATTGTGTATAATTATAGATGAACTTCAGATTGACCTTTTCATGCTATCAACTTTATTGTGATTTTAAATTTTTTTTAAATTTTAGAATATTTTAATGGTACACATGTTTAGGTCACATAATTTTCCTTTTTAAATTTTGAGTCAAGATTATAACCATGCCTTTCACCCAAAATGTGTGCATTGTACCCCTTACATGTGAATTAACCACCCCTCGACCCCTCTCACACCTAATTGATTCTCATAGAGTTTTACTTGTATGTGTGCATACATGCAGCGTACTATTCAAACATTAAAATAGAATGAAGATCTATGTGCTTTTATAACAACCTGAACGGAACTGGAGATCATTCTTCTAAGTGGAGTATCACACAATCGGAAAAACAAACACCACATGCTATCAATTTTAGTTATGTTTGGGAGTTGTTCATTTAGCCATTTACGTGGCATGTGATAGCTGAGGTAAGGAAAATATTTGAGTGGTTTGAGTGGGCAGCAGAATTAACGGACTAAAGTTGTAGTTCCTTTATTTCCCTTTGTTATCTTTCTGAAGTGGGCCCCAAAACAATCAGCAAGCAATAAGAGAAGAAGTATAGAATTTTAGGAGTAGTTAAGAACTTTTATTACTATTTGTACAAGATTAAAAAACAAAAATAAAAACAGAAACACTAGGTTTGCTTTCAAGGCTGAATGTAATGAATATGCCAGGAAATGAATTTTCTTTGCTGTAGTTTGAAGAAGATATGTGTGGAAAAGACAGATACTTAGTTACATGTAAGATTAAGGATTTTCAGGTAAGTGGCACAAATGTGCATTAAAAAAAATTAAAAACCTTGTTCAGGTAATTTTGAATATGAAATAAAATAAAAAAGAAAGTCATTTCAATCCAGGAACATGAACACAACCATTAGAATATTTGTTTCCTTTATTAAATCATAGCTGTGTACATTAATGCTTTTACTGGGTACAATGTGCTGATTTGATCTACAATGTGGAATGCTTCCATCTAACTGATTAACATAACCATCTCCTTGCTTACTTATATGTTCTGGTAAGACATTTCTACTATATTCTTAATAGTTTTAAAAAGTACCATTGCATTGTGCACATTAGGTGAGGTCCAACTTTCAGAATTGTAATATTCTTCTTTTAAGTTAAAGATACTTTTCTTAATTTTCAAAATTTTGTTTCCTCAAAAAGATATGGGATTTTTTTTTTTTTTAGAGATAGAGTCTCACTTTATTGCCCTTGGTACCTCTACCAATAAAGTGAGACTCACAGCAACCCAGCTCAAAGCAACCTCCAGCTCCTGGGCTTAGATGATTCTCCTGTCTCAGCCTCCCGAGTAGCT